TGCTAATTTATTCACAAATTTCATAAGTTATAATATGGAATGTTTGCATGAATAAGAAAAAAAACGTTGAAAGAAAAAATACTTAGAAAATTGCAGTTTAATTAATTTTTTGGAATTAATATTTTAGTATAATAATTTGTAATCTTAATTAAGAAATATTTACATAAAATTTGCTTGAAGCTTTATTTTAATGATAAATTGTTATTGTTATAATTATTATGCAATATTATTATATAATATCTCGAGTTTCTTGCTTCGCGAGAAGCATGTCCGTTTAACTGCTTAACAATTTAAATTGTGAACGAAAAAGTGCTTAATTTCATCGAAGTAAAATTACGAACTGATTGCGCGATGTAATGAAAAAACTTGTAACTCAATATTTGCATCCCTTCCCTAACTGCGCGTGCTAACTCGGTCTAATATAAAATGACGTAAACTACAGCAGCTACTTCCTGTCATTTGCGTGAGCGCGTAGTATCAACATTTCAGAAAGTCTTCTTTCTCGCGAGAGAAAGACAGAAGCAACGAGAAAAAGGCAAAGGGCGTTACAAGATGAGATACACACCAGGTGGATTATAAGACACAAGGGGGGAATTCAGTTCGCTAGAAGGATATCCCTTCTAAACCGTCACACACGAAGCTCCGACTTTATTAACGCTAAAAATATCTATTTTACATCAGGCAGACAATAGTGTATATGTATCCAGTATTATTTTAAAAATATGCAATTTATATTTATATGCGTTTAGTGCATCGAAAGTATTCCTTGAGAAACGAATATATATAAATATTAATTTAGGGAATTTATAGATTATGATTTTATTAAAAAGATGAGAGAAATGGTAATGAAAGGAATAAGTATTAAATCGGCATCGTCAATTAGATCGAATAATTTAGCTGCTAAAAAACAGATTTCTAAGTTTAGTGAAAAAATATTAATAGATTTGTGTAATTCGGAACAAAAGATAATAGAAAATATACATAATTTTGATCATTTGTACCGTCTCAGGTTATTTTCTAAGACCTCTTACTTATAAAAACAATCGTACTGACGTCATATCCCCCCGAGCACTCGCCTTGAGAAGTAAAAAACAAAGCATTTGCTCCATTTTATTCATGCGATCCATTGTCCCCGCTACATTCGTTGAGTGTGACTTGTCAGCCCGCAGCCAGCTACACGGCGGTATCTTGCCAGTCGAATGGACATTGAGCCGGTGTATCGAATCGCGTGGACATTCGTTAACACCGTAGCGCAATAACCGTGGCTCGGTGACAGAGCTGTGTTGTGTGCACGTCCCTTTTAGGTGTGCGCGAGCTGGTTTCGCCTGTGTACATGTACGCCGAGAGAGGGTGGCAAAGGGTGGAAGCTGTACAAGCCTTGATGAGCAGAGGATCATCGCCGTGGAATGGCATGATCATACGGACGGATGGAAGGGCCGCGCTGGAAGGAGAAAGGCTGAAGAGGGCGGCTGAAAGAGAGGAGCGAATAAAAAAGTTGGACCGCAGTGTAAGCGGGGAAAAATTACATGGAAGGAGATGGCGGAGCAAGAATACGGAATGACGCCGAGACCGACGGCAACAAGTCGCGGTGTCGTTGTTCCAGCGTATCGTAAATACTATGGCAAGCGAGAGACTCGGTTCAATAAACCAGCCTAGATTTGCTGTTTGTCAAATCGAGCTGATTTACAAGAATATATAACGTACAATCATTAGAAATTTTCGATAAGCAATTTGAGATCAGCTAATTTTAAATGAAATGCAACAGGATATTCATTTATAATTACAAGTTTATTAAAAACTAATAACTAGTAAAGTACTTTAACGATCAATATAATTTTTATTAATATCGAAAAATTTTAAGTTGATCAAAGAATAGTCGATAACAATAAATGTTTTGTGTTTGATCAAAGAACGTCTATATTTTAAATCTCATGTACTTATATTATTGAAATTCTCCTAATTATTTCTTAAGAAATATCTTATACGCATATATCTTTTTGCGTTGTTACAGTAATTTTTCTGAAAATCATTTTTTATCTAACATCACTGTTTTTATTAACACGATTTTCAATTGACTACTGACAATTCACTCCTAGGGATCGACAACAGCCACCGCGTTTGTGGTTCCACTGACTACACGCTTTCTTCGCCATATGTTTGCAATCGCCTCTGGGAGAACCTTATTTTTATTTTCTAGCCCAGTTGCTGAATGGAACATTTTAAAAGGCTGCCCTATCCTCCTCACCGGACACAAAATACATAACCCATAGCTGCAGGCTAATATTGGGCGCAGATAGCGTTATTTCCTCTCAATAGTACATCTTCAAGTGACACGGTTTTCTTTAAGTCCTCTTGTACATCCTCTTCAAGGCCGAGAAGCAACTTCGAATCAATTTTGAAGAGGGAGCGCACAGGTATTGACAAAAATCAAGCCATCTTACTGCACGTAATATTTTTATATTACGTGTAAGATGGCTTGATTTTTGTCAATACCTGTGAT